CCGCTACATATATAATATCATCCCAATATTTACACCCAACAAATTTTAACATCATCCAATGTCTTAACTTTTACCACCATTTCAGTTTGAGCAAATCTGTCACATTTTTTCATACGATGAGAAATTCTGTAACTTGTTAAGGAAAGTATTTTACAGTTAAAGAAGCAGCAGAACAACATAGCCATACATGACATATTCTTTTGCGAAGAAAGTTTTCATCTTATATAACCAATCAAGATAAGATGTAGGAGAACCATTTCTAGAGTACTAAGAAAGAATTTAGTGACCAAAGACCTTCCTTAGCTTCCAATATTCGACAAACAATAGGACAAGTAAATCTGTCAAGCAACCTGAGAGCCACAATATACAAGCCAATGCTACTTCAGTAAACTCAGAATCTAACTTCTGAACAGTTATTTCACAAAACATGCTTCAACCCACCACATAACACTGCAGAAACTGCATAATAATTGACGAAAACAATACAATTGGAAATGAACAGAAAGTCGTTAAAAAGTTGCACCTTTCCCAAAATATTTCCACCATCCAAACGAGATTCTGTCAAGTTACACTTCCTAATCTGTCCACGCAAATATTTGGCTCTACCTTCTTCCATATTCGTATCCTCGACGGAGATATAAGCAAAAACATTACTTTTCTTCTCTTCACCTTTGGCCGCCTGGTCTAATATCGAAGGAATAACCTGTAAATCAAGAAACATCAATTTTTTCCAAAAAAAAAACCGTAAATTTACAAACATTTCTCAAACCTAAAATTACGTACACTTCACAAACCACAGTCGCAAAACCTTGTTTTACCGAAATGTTGCATTTCATGTCTCTTGTTAATGTTGTACAAATCTAGGACACAAGTGCAACATTTCCATAAACATAAGTGTGACAACAGCATTTCTATAAAATAGAAAACAGTTAATTGCATAAACCTCGAATGTGTTCTATCGAAAAGCTGGAAACTTGTCTCGGGTTCATGTTTTACAAATCATGTTAAAAACTACCATTTAGGAAGACTTTACCACGACTTTTACAAATCATGAAGAACAAGTACAACGTTTCTAAAAACATGAGTGTGGAAGGCGGCATTTCGATAAAAAAATGCAAAACCGATTTCGATTATTCTCCGCAAGAAAATCACCTATTTCCTAACCGAAAAATTAAATTCTCAATTAACTACTTGATTGCTGAACTTACCATAGAGTGAATAGGCATTTTGATTTCAATCGTCTTCATCAACTCCGGCACCGAGAAGTCCCAATACCGAATGGTCCCGTCGAGCGAAGCGGTCCAGCAGAAGCAGAGAACCTTGCCGGCGGGGCTCGAGGCCGGCACCACCACGACCGAAGTCACCGCCGCGGTGTGGCCTTCCAACGACGATATCTGACGAACAAAAACAAAAGGGACGAGAAAGCTAAAGTCCAGTGGTTCGAGGAAGAAAGGAAATTATTCAGGAGTTGGAGGGAAGAACTGCAAAAAGACCGAACCTGCAAGCCGGTGGAAGTGCTGAAGACGGCGACGGAGGAGCCGGCGCAGAGGAGGAGGCGCTTGGCGTCGTTGGAGAACGCCGGCGCCGCCGCGACGTAGCTCTTGCCGCCGCTGATCATTTTTTTAAAGAGAGGAGCGAGAGAGAGAGAGAGGTTGTCGTCTTGGCTCTTTCGGTGTTGGTGGTGTTTGGCGTTGCTGTGCTTGCTTTTTCGCGCCTGGTAGAAGCCCTAAACCCGTTCCACGTTTTTTTTTTTTTTTTTCCAAGAAATGTTGAATGATGAATTCCTAAACCCCTTTGCTTTTGTAACTTGGGCTTCGGCCCAATACATGAGTAATGGATCAGACCATGCCCATAGGTTATTTTGAGGCCGTTTGGTTCACGCCTTCTTGATTAAAAAATCATTGGTAGGAAATTCTTAAATTCCAATTCTTTATGGAAAAATATTGTAATAATATCATGATTTTAGAAATACATTATTTTTTTAGTAAATAGAAAATTTTTGAAATTAAATTAAGTAAATAATAAATTTTAAAATTATTTGAAATAAACAGTAATTTACCACGTAAATGTGTTATTTACGACTAAAAAATTTAACTTACGTTGTAAAAAATCTTTATCAACGTGAACAAAAATTTAGCTGTTGTAAAAAGAAAAATTACATGAAAAAAATTATTTTTACTAGTTATAACTGAAATATTTATGTGGTAAACTTTTATTCACTTAATTTAATTTCATAAATATGTTATTTAATACATTCTTCTTAAATACATTTGCCAAACAGACCCTTGGGTTATTTACACATAATAAAGGGAAAAAAGGAGAACTATTATACTCAAGATGGTAAAAATATTATTTATGTCACTTTTCCATCCTTGAACATAGTTATCACAGTCGTGATGACCAGATTTTTTTTTTTTTTTGCCACAAAAACACTGTTATATTGCCAAATGCTTTATTTAACCATGACATATAACATTCTAGTTATAATGGGCGTGGTTTTAATAGTTACTTCAATATTTACTTATCAATATGTATCATTATTTTAATTGTAAGATACTGATTCGACAGTTGTAATAAATTATATAGTTGACTAAAAGAATTATGACAATTAAGGATATTGGATTTTTATCATGTTACATCATCAAATTTATATGTTTGTGTGTGTGTATATCTAGGTGTAGTTTTAATGGTTATTATAATATTTACTCATTAATTGGTATTATAATTTTAGTCATAAGATATTAAGTTGATGGTTGTAATAAATAAAATAATTGATAAAAAAATTAATGATAATTAAATTTTTTTCACATCACATCATTAAATTTTCATATTTAAAAGCGACCACTGATAGAAAAATAAGCAATGAAAACTCGTCCATAGTTACATGAAATATAGCTATCATAGCTTGCCACAAATGAAAATACAGCAAAACTGGAAACCAAAAAGTTCCCAATTAAAAGTCAACAAATCAGTCTTTCTATACCGAATCAGAATCAAGGGGAGGAAAGGAAGAAAAGAAAAAGAAACCCATCTATATATATATTTTTTAAGGTAAAGTGAGTTGTATCAAACGATACTTACATAAGTATCAATACAATTAGGATAATCCTCTAACCAATAGTGATCTACAGTTAACGAAAAAGTAAACTTCACTAAAGTATGGGCAGTCACATTACTAAGATGAGCAATATGACTATAAGTACCACTATTAGCTTCCTCCATTAAGATCCTGATGTCATTCAAAATAGGAATTTCCGCAGCAATCTTAGGACAAACATTAATTGCTCTAGCTGCGTTTATAGAATCACTCTCGACAAGAAAGACACGGAGATCACTATCTTTTGCAAAAAAATAATCAGTGGCGGAACCAACCTTTCACTTCAGTATGAGCGTACATTAAATTTTTTTTAACAAATTATTTTAATGAGGGCATATAAGAAAATATATTTATATTAGTGTGAGCATATATTATTTCAGTAAAAGCTTAAATGTAAAATTTTAAAATTTTTAAAAGTAATAATTTTTTTAAAAAAATTTGAGTGAGAACGGTAACCCCTCACTGAACTGTACTTAAATCCGCCGTTAAAAACAACCCCTCTCGAATAGCTAGACATTCTAAGAAAACACCCAAAACAAAACCCGTTGAATCCCGGATAAGACCTGCAACCCCCAGACGCATCAACATTCAACATCCAGCCTTGGGATGACATGAAACCCATCCATATAGAGCTTACATAAAAATGTCTATAAAATATGTATTTCATAAGTACTACATAAAAGAGCTACTTTGTGGACCTGTGGTCCAAAAAAAAAAAAAAAAAAAAAAAAAAAAGGGCAATAAAAAATAAAAATAGATGCACCGAACGTATTTTCAAGTTAGGTTTTCATTACTTTTTTTGTTTAAAACAACATAAAACCATTTATTTAGATGATACCGAACAGACTTTGTGTAATTACGCAGTTTAAAACGTGACAATCATTATAATGATCAAGATTAATTACTAAATTTTTCTCACACTATTACTCTTAGAACACTTTTTCCCCGAACCATCGGTCCCCTGATCTATATAATATAGACTATTAACAAATTTTGTAATTAATTCTAATAATTGCTATGTATTATGCTATTCCTAAAGTATACTAAAAATATATATATATTTTAATCCCACTTGCAAACATGTCATGTAGTGTAATTTTTCAAAAATAATATATATTTTTTAAGTAAAACAAGGGAGCTTAATATTATCGAGGCTCATCAATAAAATAGAAAGGATTTAACTCAATTCTACTCGAATGATGAGTTCGGTTTCACTCGAACCACTGCGAGTCTGCATAGTTTATCAAGTATTGGAGTTCTAAAATATCAAATCTTAAACTTATGGTGAGAAATGGAAAAATATCTTAACGGCTTCATCATTGGTGTTTTTTTTTTTTTTTTTTTTAAAAAAAAAAAAAAAAACAGTGCTATACGCTCCGGTTAAAGGGCGGTTTATCATTAATGGGGAATTTTAGGCCCCGTTTATTTCACCGATTCGAGTTTAAAATTCGAGTTTTTTTACAGTGAAAAGCTCTCAGAAACAGTCACATCTAACTTGTTTTGCTACAGTAAAAAGCTCTCACATAAAATCACATCTCAACTCGAATTAAAAACTCAAATCAGCGAACTAAACGGACTCTTAGAGAAAACAATTGGCATAATATAATGCCAAGCAACTAAGTGCAATGCACAGAGGAAGTTGGTAAAAGCCTTTTCCTAACATTCTACTCCCTTTTTAATTAACTCGTGCAATTTCTTTAGAGCCCTTTTTTTTTATTTTAAAGGAAACTAATTTGGAGCCTAATTAAGGTAAGCTAACGGAGAACAAATATTAAGAGGGTATTTAGTATGAGGATTCGTGTCATGATTTAAATCATAATTCGTGACTCGTTACAGTATTTTATCTCACAAAAATTACACGTAAATCAAAAATGATTCTGAATCTGTAAACTAAACGTTCACTCATTAAAAAAACTAGAAACATTTATTAGCAGAAAAAAAAAGCATATTTAATAATAAAAAAAAAATCGGCTTTGTCAACCCACCAGAACCCTCATCATGTATTAATTATGATAATAGATATAGTTGTTTAACTTAACGCACTGATGAACAAAAAGGCCTTTATATTATCATATACCCACACAAAAAAAAAAAAAAAAAAAAAAAGGAACAACAGGCATTATCGTTATTGTCGTTACACCACCACCTATACCCTCTCCAAAGTCTTTTTAAGTTAAACAACTTTTAAGCAAATATTAATCAATAACTCTACGTAACATATAATAAAAAGGCTACAAAAGATTCTTCCAAATATCCTAATTTGAACGATCTTTATCTCTCCCTGGCGCCTGTGGGAAACATTGTTCAACTAACACATGTTACGTGGCCTAAGAATAATGGTATCTTAGAGTATATGTGTACCGTCCATAAAGTTTACCTGCTTATCAACAGCCACTATAATTCTATATACTTCTATGCTAATACATAAAATATGTGTACGTATAGAATAGTGTATATCTAGTATATACCATATGGGATCTCTGTCTATTATTTATTTAACATGTATCTGATTTTTTTTTAATGAATAGTCATAGGGGTCCAAACTTTTATTCAAAAGTTTTATACAAGTTCTTTAACAACATATAATATATATATATATATATATTATGTTAAATTATCAATTTACATGACAAGTGAGTTGTATTAAATCACCATTTTATGTGACGGGTGAATTGTCATTTTTTGTGACGGATGAATTGTTATTTTTATATTAGTAGATGCATCTTTTTAATTCGATTAGTAATGTGACGGGTGAATTGTCATTTTTATATTAGTGGATGCACCTAGTTTGAATTGACATGTTTATATTTTAATAATCGCCAATGAAATATTGACAACTTACTTATGGTCATGACATTTTGGTATTGAAAATTTTAAATGGAAATTAAAATTCATAGATTATTCTTTTTCTCTAGGATGAGATCAGCTTGAGACAACTCTTGTCAAATGGACTGCCAGCTATGGTTTCTACCACATGCTATAATCCCTACATAGACACTACACATGTATGCTACATAAGTACCAAGAATGCTTAGAAAAACAAAAGTAATTGTGACTCATTGATAAAAAAAAATAATTGAAAACCCTTTAATTAATTCATATAGGCAAATTCTATACTCCAGCAATATCCATGAGGGAGCTTTCAAATTACTATCATTTTCGTTGATTTTTGTGACCAAACCTTCCCTAGGTACTTTAATGTGTTTAATTATAAATAAATTTAGGAAAAGACCAAAATTTGGCTTTTATAATAGTTTCATATAATGATTAACAATATTGGTGGTACTTAGAGTTTGGAGTGGAAATAATTTAGGAATATGGCCAATTATTTTCTTAGGGCAACTAAATTTTGTTGCATAATTAGGGACTACAAAGTATGTTTTTAATTTTATTGGGTTCCACAAGGACAGCTTTGGAAGACCTTTTATGGTGTGGCCTAAAAACACAGATGCCTAACTGGCATGACAGCATGACGATTCCATGATTAACAATATTGGTGGTACTTAGAGTTTGGAGTGGAAATAATTTAGGAATATGGCCAATTATTTTCTTAGAGCAACTAATTTTGTTGCATAATTAGGGACTACAAAGTGTGTTTTTAATTTTATTGGGTTCCACAAGGACAGCTTTGGAAGACCTTTTATGGTATGGCCTAAAAACACAGATGCCTAACTGGCATGACAGCATGACGATTCCATGTTGTTGTGTTTTTATTTATTCCGAACCATTACCATCAATAAACCCAATAATATCAAAGGCCAATAGTTAGGGAAGAAATTCCAAAATTTTCCAAGGAAAAAATAATAATTTCCCTATGTATTTCAAATTTCATAATACTAGTTCCGCTTTCAGTACTATTATTATAATTGACATTATTTGTTATGTGGATGGTGAAAAGGAAAAAAAAAAAAAAAAAAGATTAAAGCCATTCTCTCTCTAAATAAATTATGATTATGTTGTTAAACAATGCAGAGTTAGTACTAGCTAGTGATTCTCACGAGACTGAAGAAATCTCTCATTTTTAAGTTGCTAAGCATACCATTTATATTCCATAGCAATTAATTAAGCCTCAATTCATGTCTTTGAACTTCGCAGAATTTGCACTTTGATCCTTAAACTAAACAGTTTAATTTATGTAAGATACTATTTTGAACGGTCAGATTATCATATTTTATAAATTTTGAATCCCTTTTTATTTTAATATGATTTAATCAAATCTACTATTAGAAATATGTATTATTAATAGATACTCTCCGAAAAAAAGTCTTAAAAAGAACAACAATTGTAACATGCTTTTCTCGTTATTGATTAAAATTAGTGTCGGCTCACTTCCTAATTATAAGAGAATAATAACGTTAAATCGAGTTAGTTAGCACGCATCATCGAAGGTCAATTATACGAGTTCAAATTTCTATAAGTGTAATTCACTGATTTGTCAATTTATTGCCATCCCAAGTTCAAATTTCCACAATTGTATTTCTCTCATTTGTCAATTATTGTCACGGGTTGGGCTACGTATATAATGTTTCCAATTTAATGGTCCTGATATTACAGAAGAGAGCTACTTTTTGAAGCATGTCTATTCAAGACAATGTTTGAGAAGTTGATGGGAAAATACATGCCACCCTTTAAAATGCCAATTTCCACTATTCTAAAACTACTAACATTAATATACACTAGTCTCAATTTCTGCCACAAAAAACTAGACTTGTTGGTGAGGATAAACATTAATGCATGAAAATAAAATGCTTTTTTTTTTCCCTTTATCTTATTCATCTTCTTATTAATTTGACATGTTCTAAGCAACCCCCATGTTGTTTTTCTCCTTTTTCTCTTTGGAAGTTCCTCAAACATAAAATATATATAGAGAGAGATTGACGAGACATTACCCATCAACAAAACCTTTTTTTTTTATAGAGAGATCTATGGTACGCATGGCGTATTGGTAAGACATGTTTTTTTAACTATTAGATATGCATAATTTTTAATTTTTACGTGATTTTATATAAATCCGACAGACATAAAACTTGACATATCGGTAAGTTAATGTACCGGAAAAAGTCTCTTTCTTTTTCATAGAGATTGATTAGAAAGGAGTTGTCCGAGTGAGGATTTTTTCTATAAAAAAATAAAAAAAAAAAAAGAAAAAGAAAACAGTTTTTCCATGTATAATATGCCTCAATAATACTAATGTGTAAACATCTATATTTACATGTTGATGAAAGCACATATTTAGAATTGCAATATCAAAAGTATATTTACATATATCCTAATTAAGTACTCTTCCTTGACTAGTGTTTTTTTTTTTTTTTAAGAACTTCTTGTTGAAATGGAATCTTGTGGTGAGATTGAGAAGGAACTGTCACATTCATATTCTAGATCCTCAAAACCCCAAAACTCATCCTGATCTTCTTCTTCTTCCTCCGGCATTTTCCATTTTTCTTCCTCGATTTCCCCTTCTTCCATCACCTCCAATACCTGTTCATCCACAGTAAAGTTACAAACTGAGAATTGTGGTAAAAGAATGGCTTGACACTTCTTCACAAACATTGAAGGAAAAGAAGATAAGAAAGAGACGGGTCAACTTTGTAGCTGCATGCAACTTTTAAAAGACAATTAATATGATGATTCATAAGGAAGAAGTTATAGTCCATATCATTTTTTTTTTTTTATGCATCACGGAGTTTAATTTCTATGGTTGGATATGATTTTTTTTAAATGTTAAATTTTTTTTTTTAAAACTAAAATTGACATTTTATACAATAACTCGTGTCGTTTCTTTACATCATTTAGTGACTGAGATTTAAACCGCGTGATCCACCACAAATCTTTTGATGTAACATAGTTTTCATGGATCCATAAAAAGTAAATTAGGCCTATGAAATTTGGTAGTTATATGGTTGGGAAAACTTATATGTGAGCTAAAACATCATCATAATTCATAATGTGGTAGGCTCTCGTTTCATGGAATTCACATCACTCATATGGATAGAAGAAAAAAAAAAAATACTTTTTAGCTTAAAAGTGTGTATCAATTATGACTCAAAAGAGGACCCACTTTCACAATCATTGTGGTGATCATATCTAAATCTTCTAATCACATGAGAGTTAGCACCAAATTTGTATATCATCTGCTTAATTTACATAAAACTATTAGGGTTAGGTCGGATAGGACATTTTCAGACTAAAAAATTGCGTGAAAAACAGAAATCCCCTAAATCAACACCCAAAAAATACCAAATCTAAGTTTCCTCTATGATCCCAGCTGGTGAAAAGGATGTCCAAAGTCATTTTACTGGCAAACCACCAAAAAAGTACTTAAAAAAACAACTTAATACATGATAATAATAATAAACAACACTTCATAATTTTTTAAAAAATGTATATGTAGCTAACTCAATCGGTCAGTCAACTAAAAATTACTTTATCAACATGACGCGCATATATATATATATATATATATATATATATATATATACACACACACACACACACACACACACACTCCATGATGTGTTCCTCCGCTAGGAAATAGTTTACTGACAAAGTTATGCATATTCTATTTCATGTATGTGACCTAATTGATAAGGAAAGCATCTCAGAAGATTTGTACCCAAGTTAATTCCCAAATGCATGACAAAAAAAAAGGTATCACTTTCTAGTGTGATCATCACTATTTTCCCCTTATTGTGTCACCTTCAAGAACTCATCTTTTAATAATTTAGTAATATTGAATCCCATTTATCAAAATAATAAGACTATGATTTAGACCAAAAAAAATTACACGGGAATTTTGCGATAGGGCATACGTAGCATCAATTTACGTTAATGTGTACTACTATTAAGGTAACTTTAGAGCTCGTTTATTTTGGTGATTCGAGTTGAGATGTGATTTTATGTGAGAGCTTTTTACTGTAGTAAAAAAATTAGATGTGACTGTTTCTGAAATATTTTTACTATAACAAAATTTAAATTCTAAATTCAAATCAGTGAAATGAACGGGACTTTAGTAATTAAGTTATGTTCCGTGGTATTATTAGTACATACCTCATGATAATTATATGATTATGACATGTAATTAAGATATAATATATTATTATAATAATTTGGGTACCTTGGTGATGGTAGGCCGCCATTTTGGGGCTGCCCGGATGCAAAGAGAGGCTGCAAAGGCAAGTCTTTTCAGCTGACTAGCATCATAGGCCCCTCCAAGTTTTGGATCTATCAGCTTTTCTATTTCTCCTTGTTTCAATATTGGTTTGGCCTGTTCAAATCCCACATTTAACAATCATTAAAGCCAAAGAAATTTATACATGGACTAATCAAATGGACTAATCAAATGAAATTTATACACGGCGAAATTTCTAATATAATAAATCAAATGGGAAATTCTTTATAACAATTAAAAAAAAAATTTCTCCAGTAGGAACTGAAAATACTCTATTCTCAATCGTAAGATTCATATTAACAATTATTTATTTTACATATATCTTTTTAATATGATGTGATTTGAATCAAAATCCGATTGTCAGAGAGAAACCGACTCTACTAAAAAAAGACTCGTAAAATAAATAAATAAACAAATATTACCCAGCTGTGTAAGCTCTGGTGAGACGCATCCACTGGCTTTCTGCCAGAAATGATCTCCAGAAGAAAAACACCAAAAGCAAAAACATCTGTTTTCTCATCCACAATCCCATGCATGTAGTACTCAGGAGCTAAATGCCTGAACAAACAATATGCAACATTTCACCCAATCAAACTTTTGTATCATTCTTTTCTTTTCTACTCTAAAAAAAAAAAAATGTCAAAATTAATTTTTTTCTTAAAACAAAAAAGTTTCCAAGTACCCAAATGTCCCTTCTATAGGGGCAATTGAATGGTGAGTCCACTGAGATGGAAGCCATTTAGCAAGTCCAAAATCAGATATCTGCAACCAAAAAAAAAAAAAAAAATGTCATGATACCAAATTCAGCAACTCTCAAAAACCAACTAAACTTCAAATAATTTTTTTTTTTTTCATTTTTCTCTTTTTTTTCCCTCTTATACTCACCAATGGTTCAAAATCTGCAGTCAAAAGAATATTGGAAGACTTAATGTCCCTATGAATTATCCTTCTCTGACAACCCTTGTGCAAGTAATTAAGTCCTCTTGCTGTCCCAACAGCTATCTTATACCTCATTTTCCACTCCATTGGCCTCAAATTCTCATCTGTAAAACGAATTAAAAAAAAAAAAAAAAAAAAAACCAAAAACATCATAAAAACTCAAACCCATTAGCATAAAAGTTTATTTTTGGATAAAGTACGGGAAAAGGAAGTACAATAAGACACAGTTTAAACCGTTGAACTTCTTATGATCATATCAGAATAAAAACACGACGGTTTATAATCACGCCTATCAGTAAAATATATATATATATATATATATATTAGATACAGTTTTAAACAGTCAAACTCCTCAAAATCATATCAGAATTCAAACGCAGACCGCGTCTACCGGCGAAATATATAATACATTTCTTCTAATTTGTTTTTTTTTTTTCTTTTACCATGGAAGAGAGAAGCAACAGAGCCTCTGGAAGAGAACTGAAAAACGAGGTAAAGCCCATTGTCAATGCAACAGCCGAGGAGCGACAAGACGTTACGGTGACGGACATGTCCGACCGTCCCGATCTCCGTCAAGAAATCCTTCTCTTTCCTCTCGTCGGAGCTGGTTTTCGTCAGCCTTTTCACGGCGATTTCTTCGCCGCTGCTCAGAACTCCTCTGTAAACCTCCGCGTAGCCACCTTTTCCGACCAAATTCTCTGGCACCCAGATGGCAAAAAACATGAGTTTTTAGAGAGAGAAAGAGGGTATGGGAGAGAAAGAGAGAGAAAGAGAGAGAAGTAAGAACCTGGGGTGAAGCCATTGGTGGCGAGGGAGATTTCTTTGAAGGAGAAGCATTTCCAAATGGGTTTCTGAAATGGTTCTGATATTTCCATATGATTCTCGAGGGTTTCGATAATATTATTGTCGTCTTTGGGTTGTTCTTGGTCTTCCAAACTACGTCGTTTTAGCGAGAAGAGCCTCTTCAAGCTGTTGGTCCGAATGTACTTCATTTTTTGCAAATGATTTTTTTTTTTCAGACTTAAATAAGACTCTTCTGTTTCATGCAGATAAAACTCTCTCTCTCTCTCTCTCTCTCTCTCTCTAAATCTTTCTCTCTCTTGTTTTGCTTTGTGTTTTTCTCTCTCCAAATTCAACAACAGAGTCAAAAGGGTCGAGGAAGTTTGTTGTTTCAGATGACGAGGAGATGACAAAAGTGTTGCAGAAGCTCTCTCTGCTCTCTGTTCTCTGTTCTTCTGCCTATGGGCATTTAAGCTCTTATTTATTTATTTATTTATGCGTTTATTTTTGTTTGGCAATTTTTTTTTTTTTTTTTTTTTTTCAGAATGGAAATGAAGAGAAATATGGGTTCTATTTTATTTTATTTTAAAATTGTTTTAGGGCCCACTAGACTAGCTATTGGCTCATGAAGTTTAGGTACTCTGTCTGTGTTTTCTGTGGAAGAAAATAGTAATGTTTAGAAAAATGATAAAGATGGTTTATCAACAAATAATTTTGGCATTAAAAGGTGGTAAAATAGTATGTTGGATATGCTATTTTATTTTATGTTTTTATGCAGTAATATTTCAAATTTTATATTCACTTTTTGTTGTAATTATTTATTTTGGAACTTGTAAAAAGTATAACGAAAAGAAGAAACTTGTGGAAAGTAAACTTTTAATTGCCAAAATAATTTGAACATGATAAATCATGAAATAAAAATGCTAATGCATCAATTAATGTCAATCAAATATCAAAATTTGACATATCTTAAACGTGGTGACTCAAGTGCACTAAGTACAATATGTTGTTATATTTAGCGGAAAAACAGCGTTGCATTTGAAGGTGATTTTCTCATAATATGATTTTCTTATACAACAGCTAAAATTTTACGTTGAAACATGATTTTATTTTTTTTTATGCCAAAAAACTTCAATAGAAGGGCGTAAGGCATAAAAGAGAAACAATAGACATTAAAGAAAAAAGAGTGCAATAAAAAGTAAAGCCACGACACCCAAATAAAGCTAGAGACTACCTTACAATGGGCCTCACACTCAGAAAAAAAAAAAACAAAAAAAACAAAAAAAAAAACAAGTCTCCAAAAATATGAAAGAGAATGTAATAAATAGCATATTTTAAAATTATATCAAATAAATGACTGAATTTATTACTATTTAAAATAAATAATAATTTATCACGTAAATATTTTATTTACGATTACTAAAAAGATTTTTTTTTCACATAAATTTTCTTTTTACGACAGCTAAAAAGATATTTTTTCATGTAAATAAAGATTTTTTACCAATTATAAATGACACATTTACATGATATACTGTTATCCACTTTAAATAGTTTTAAAATATATTATTTATTTAAAATAGTTTTAAAGATCTGCTATTTACTACAATTTTTTAAAAGGAGAGATAAATCTCATTGCCCCGACCTAGCTATGTGGCGCTACATTTCTAAACGCCGAATCCAATTATGCTTATAAGACTTGAAATGTTAGGTTAATTTTGATGCCTCGAGTTGAAGGTTAAGCAACTCAGTTGTATACTAATTGAATTAAACTTTGAGGGAAAACAGACAAATATCCCTTAAAACGTATGAGTTTAAGTTTTTACTCTTATTATTGATTAATATTTATATTAGTTAAAAATGTATTAATTAAGTTGCAAATGTTAACTATTTATGATAATATAATAATAGACTTTTCGTAAAAATGTACTGAAAATTAATTAAAAACTCTAAGTTCAGCAATTTTCTCTAAATTTCAAGATTATAACATGAAATTCAAAGATGGAATTCAAAAAATAGTGCCCTACCATATTAATTTTTTACCAGTTTTCTCAAAATTGCTTATAGTATTAACACGTGAGTTAACATGATTTTTAGGTTCCAACTTCTAAGTTCTTATAACAATTGAAAATAGTATTCTCTTTCAAAATTCATTCTCGAAAAGGTTGCTCATCAGAACAAGCTACTCTAGTATAGTTTCTTATCTTATACTCCATTTTAATTTGACTTTTCATCTACCTTTTTCTTCCCTTTTTTGTTTCGAGTAATTTGATTGAGATAATGTTTAAGGAACATTATATAGTCATTTTTCATTTTATCTTCTCAACCTGTAATTAGATTCTCTGTTCAATGGTTTACTTGTTACGGAACATACTAAACCTCATTATAGCATATATGTAGATAATATGTGTTATATATATATATATATATATAATATTGAGGTTGTGGCAATATATACATATATATATATATATATATATTATTGAGAAAAAAAGATAGCAATGTAAATTGGAAAAGCATCTTTCTACGTTGTGTATCATGTGTTTTGGTATTTTTATTATTATTTTAGTGATCAACGCATCTTTTGTTGCTTGCAAGACTTCAACAAGTTGGCCGACTTTGTGCTATCACACACATATAAATGACATAGTTCCAGATCTTGTGACAATTGAGAAACCGTCAGTCTCATATAGAAACAAAAACTTGAGTCAAAACAATAAAAGACTTTACTTGATTATGGAAGAATTGCAAATTGCTAACATTTTAATAATCAATCTTAAATATCGCATCGCTCGTGATATTCAAATTGTAATATGGAAGGGCTCTCATTCAATTTTCTTTATATTAATTTGAATGGAAAAAAAAAAAATTAAAGTAAGCTTTAGGGTCGAGTTTACTTCGCATCATCAAAAGAAAAATGAAAATGAGGTGTGATTTCTTATTATTTTAATCTACTTTATCTTACAATTAATCCCATTACTTTTATTATTACATTTCTTTAACTTTATTATTACAATTAATCCCATGAAGTTTGGTGGTATGATTTATATGGTCTTGAATTTCAATAATGTCTACGTGATGGACAAATTATGGTCCTTTTTTCGTTGCAAGAATTATGGCCCTCAAGTCTAGGAAAAAGAACCAACCTACTTGCTTAATAATTCATCCACATGGAACAGCTCTAGGGTTTGGTAATATATAGTTGGACGACTGGGAAGTATGTCTTAAAAATTGAAATTTGAATAAACTTTGGTAATATATAGGTTTGGTAATCTATGATACAAAGTCGAATGAACTTGTTCAAGTACAGTGCAATCAACCAATTAATATCAATCACGTGCTTTACAGGGAAAGTAAAGATTATGTTGAAGCTCAATAAAATATACATTAATATAGGAGCTTCTTATGATAAGATATCCTATAAAACAATACATGTTTTTGAATAGTAAATCTAATTATTAAAATAAAAAGTATGCAAGACTGACTACTGTATGTTTATTAATAAGTGTTTCATATGTTTTGAACCAAAAAACTTAATTGAGTACGTGTTTGTTAAATATTTATAAGACCTATTTCAAACCAGTGATATGACCAGTTGAACCAAAAAAATAACTCAAATTCTAAAATTAACACCCTCCATGTCTCACACCTCTTCTCTCACAAAAAATAAAAAAAATAAAAAAATCTTTTAGTTACACATCCAAATATAATTTCAGATTTCATTCCTTTTTCAAACCACAACTCTACTAATATCTAAACGTTATTTAGGACTATAATTTCAAAACACACTTTGCATTTCAAATAAAAAGTTCAAACCATCATGTTTCAAACTTATTTATCAAACGAACCCTAAATATTTAGACAAAAGAGTCGATTAGGGTTTCTTTTCCTCTTCCTCTCTCTACTATTCTTTGCCCCAACCTAGCAGTAAGCTTCAAAGGGCCAGAATCACCACCCTTGGGCTTGGCTCTGAACAGTCAGCCCCATGGAAGGGGGCTTGAGTGTCGCAGCGTAGATCTTCTCGGTGAGGGGTTGATGAGGCCATTATTTGGGTGGGAGAAAAAGGTGTTGCGAGACGGGGATGTGGGCCCTTTTTGGTGTGTTTTTGGTTGCCGCTTCTGGGCACGTCCAAGTGCTGGCAAAACTATGCCTCTTGTGTTGCGGTTCGACAGCCAGAGATGGCGGAGGAGGTGGAAAGCCGTGCTTTTCCTGGTGCCGTTATGTTATAGGGGCTTCGGCCCCAATGGGCCGACGGCTCCATGGATAAAACGTGTTCCCGAGTTGGCAATGTCAGGTGACAACAGTGGCTTGGATTTTTTCCGGCATTTCTTTGGCTTGCTTGCAGCATCACGGCTCCTTTGCTCATTCCTGGCGGTGGTTGGCTTGTCATCAAAGATCCGACTAGCGTCATTTTGGCTTTGCCATTTCTGTTTTGATTTGTAAGTTTGTCAAATAATGGAGTTGATTCTTTTGCCGTTTTGTTTTAATGTGCTTGTTTGCTTTCTGTTGAAATTATGGAGGTGGTCTCCACACTTTTCGGTGTTATTTTTATGTCAAGTCCGCAAGTCTTTCTTTGTAGTGTTGTGGTAGTCCTGGTATTTTTGGTCTCTTGATCTCAATCGATTGGAGTTATCCACCTACTATAGTGGTGTGTTTGAAAGAGCCATTTGTGTATTCAATTAGTTGTGTGCCTTTTCGGTTTTTTCTTGTTGAAACTCAATATACGTATTACCCCTAGAGCGTTTCACTCGAATTTATTGGTGGTTCCAATCTATAGTCAGGATTGAGTTGCTAAATACGATATGATCTTTCACGTCTAAATTAGTGTGTATCACTCTGATTTTAAATACAATTCCCATTTCTTTAAAAATACTCACGAAGTTAAGCTTTATTATTGAAACAAATAATCATTTTTATGGGATGAAATACTTGTTTCTTTTTTCTGTTTTTAACTTTTTATTTTTCTGAAAAAACTTATAAACAAAGGAATTCGGGGTAAGTATGTATGAAAAGAAAAACTATCAATTAGACATAGTATAAAACTTAAAAAATTATAATCAAATCAAATTAAAGAAAATATAACATTTTTTCAAAACTCGATGAAAATTTGACCATTTAAAATTGTGCCTAAAAAATTTCTTTTCCTATCTTATGGATTCTCCATTAAAAAAAAGTGAAATACTTGTCATTCATCAAAGGCCATCTTGTACAAGGACAATATATCACCTTTCAATTTCCTTTAAAAAAACAAAAAATAAAATAAAACAAAAACGAATAGGACAATGTCACTTGTGTTTTGACTCCCATCCATTGATCAAGTGTGAATATCGCTATCAAGTACTTGCACACACAAGTCCCCAAAAGCATCTACCAATTCATATGTATAAATTACATTTTTTTTGGCCAATATATATCCAATAATTACTTCAAATTTCCAAACAAAATGTAAAGACAATAATATGCACAACCGAAGTAATTCACGCAACATTATGTGAAGGATCGATTTGTTGTCACAT